AATCATTTAGTTGGTCCTTTTTTCTTACCTAGAAATTTGACCGGTGAAATGTATTTGGAATTACTGGAAGACGCCATAGATCTTGCATTAACAGCCATAATTGAAAATCAGAATGATCGGCGGTACATTGCGAATAGGTTGATGTTCCAATAGGATGGTGCCCCACCACATTACGCATGACGTGTTCGACAATATTTAGATCAGACGTTTCCAGATCGATGGATTGGTAGAAGAAGTGCCACAGAATGGCCCCCAAGATCGCCAGATTTATCACCTTTGGATTTCTTTATGTGGGGTCATTTAAAAAGCAAAATCTATGCTACTCAGCCAACATCATTAGAAGACCTGCGACAAAGAATTGTCAATGAGTGCCTTCAAATTACTCCTCAAATATTGCAAAATGTGCGGCAACGTTTTGAGCAAAATCTTTATTATTGCATGGAGAGTCATAGTGGCCATTTTCAACATTTACTTGCCTAACGGGTCAGTTCATTCTTCATTTTTAAATTACTTTGCTGCTAAATCTATTGATCTTTACGAATGATGATGTATTAGTTTTATTTAAGCTTTAAATCAATAAATCTTCGAAACTACTGAACTGAAGTATATTAATTTTATATCATTATAAGGGGAATTGAAAGACCTTTAAAATAAGGCATCACTCGACCCCCCTTTCCATTTAAGATTTTGGGGGTGGTGTCACCCCTGCTTAGGGGGCTGCACGTGCTAACGTGATTTTTTGCCAAACTTATGTCAACAAAATCGACGGGTCTGAGCGTTTTTAAAAAAAAACTGAGCAGCCAGTAAATGCGTCTGTTTCGTTTTCGATGCGCCACCCTCTATTTGCAAAACACTGAGAGGCCTGACTCCAAGATTCCGTCTTCTGAAATATTTCCTGAGCAAATATTGCTTAAAGATGTTGTAAACAGCATTGGTCCAATCACAGCTGTCTTTTGGAATCATCGTATGGGGTGGAAGGGCTAACACATATTTGAAGGAAAATAATATACGAGAGAACAATAACATATCACACGAAACTTCTATTCTTGATATACCTATGATAAATCTACTGTTCTACTATCCTAAAGAATATCTATGCAGGAAAAATTAAATTGCAAAGTATTTGCCATGTTTACCAAACACTTCTCAAACAATAGTGTTATGAGATCCCTCGAAGAAATAAATCTGTAGGACAGATGCACTTTGTTTATCTTGCACCAAAATTAAACAATATGCTACCTCTAAATCTTAGAATAACGTTAATGTCGAGATTAAAAACTCAAATAAAGAAATGGGTGGTAGATAGTGGAATAATGTTTTTCAATAACTTCTGAATAATATTTCACAAATCGTGTAATGCAATATTGTAGTAAGTATAGGCTATGAGTAGATACCCAATATGGACTCAACAAAGTATTATTATTATCGCAGGCAATTAACTTCCATAAAGACAAACCACTGATTTGGACAAATATCCCGATTTGGACAAAAAATGCTGAATTGTAAACAAAACAATGACCCACAAGCTATATATAAATGCATCTTCAGTGGATACTTATGTGTTATCTGATATTGATTTTATTTTTACAATGTACACAGATATGGTTGTCACAAATAAACACATATCATTATTGTTTAAATATCAAAACTTGGATATTAATTGGATGAAACTATTCTTTAAGCAGTCTTGATCAACACAATATTTATTGTTTTTTCTGATATACGTATGAATAAGCTTACAAGCTAGCACTAATTTGTTTTGGTGGAAACAAAATAAAACGGTTTGTCATCGAATTAACAACGTACGTGCAGTTCGAAGATTCCAGAGCTCATAAGTATCGCTGTTAATATTTATTTGGGAATATAATCAAACCAAAACACCAAGTATTGGGTATGCTCATACACTTCTAGATGCTGCTACCGGATGGTACATTCAGACGACAAATACGACGGGAACCATTAGGTTGGAGAGAAAGCTTTACCCAAAGTATCGATACTTGAACATATGTATTTGGGGCACATTATCTAGCCATTTACCCGTATTTTCATCACCTCTCACCAACATTTTTGATTTGTTTTAATGTCGCATGCGGATAACTACAACGTAATATATAGGGTGGCGCATCGAAAACGAAACAGACGCATTTACTGGCAGCTCAGTTTTTTTTTTGGAAAAACGCTCAGACCCGTCGATTTTGTTTTCGAGGGGGACATAAGTTTGGAAAAAAATCACGTTAACACGTGCAGCCCCCTGGGCGGGGGTGATACCAACCCTAAAATCTTAAATGGAAAGGGGGGTCGAGTGATACCTTATTTTAAAGGTCTTTCAATTCCCTTTATAACGATGTAAAATACATGACCTTCAGTTCAGTAGTTTTGAAGATTTAATGATTTAAAACTTAAAGTGGACTTTAATAGGTACATCAGATTAGTTTGTACTACCTTCAGAAGAAATTTGACTAAAATAATTTACTTAATAAGTAAATGCTTTTCTTCACTACGCCCATGGTTTGTTTATCATTTTGTTGTTGAAAATAGCTATTGGAGCGTTTTTTTGTGGCAAAAAAGTTATTTCTTGAAGAAAGATAAGGAAATATCTCGTACTTATTTTAAATAGGAATTTAGTACATAGTTTGCGATTGATTTGACCAAACTTTGTTGCTAAAATAACTTGTAACGCTTTATTACATAAATTAACCATGGTATATTCCACAGCAGAAAGAGTTGAGATTATCGAAATATTTTTCGGAGATAATCAGTGCCCTAATAGAACAGCAGAAATATTCAATTAGCGACATGAGAACAGTAACGTGCATCGAAAATATGTTCTAGAACTTGTAGCTAAATTTCGGGAAACTGGGTCAGTCGCCAATAAAAAACGCAACATTGCAAATCCCATAAGGAACGAAGCAATAGAAGTGGGGGTTTTAGGGCAAGCTTCTGAAGATCCTACGTCAAGTACCCGCAAATTGGAGACTGTGTGTGGTGTTAGTCGACGTACTGTCCAACAGATTCTAAAGGCCCATAGTTTTCATCCGTATAAAACTCACCTGGTACAAGAACTTTATGAAGACGATTTTGATCGGCGATTACAATTTTGTGAAGATATGAGTGAACGAATTATAAACGATGAACATTTTCTATTCAACACTTGCTTTTCTGACGAATGTTCCTGTTTCTTAAATGGCGTAGTAAATCGTCATACTACTGCCGATATTGGTCCGATTCTAAACCCAGAATTTATCATAAGGTTCATACACAGCAGCCACAAAAATTAAATGTTTGGGCTGGTATTTTTGGCGATCATTTAGTTGGTCCTTTTTTCTTACCCGGAAATTTGACCGGTGAAATGTATTTGGAATTACTGTAAGACACCATAGATCCTGCATTAACAGCCATAATTGAAAATCAGAATGATCGGCGGTACATTGCGAATAGGTTGATGTTTCAACAGGATGGCGTCCCACCACATTACGCATTACGTGTTCGAGAATATTTAGATCTGACGTTACCAGATCGATGGATTGGTAGAAGAGGAGGTGCCATTGAATGGCCCCCAAGATCGCCAGATTTATCACCTTTGGATTTTTTTATGTGGGGTCATTTACAAAGCAAAATCTATCCTACTCAGCCAACATCATTAGAAGACCTACGACAAAGAATTGTGAGTGAGTGCCTTCAAATTACTCCTCAAATATTGCAAAATGTGCGGCAAAGTTTTGCGCAAAATCTTTATTATTGCATGGAGAGTCATGGTGGCCATGTTCAACATTTACTTACCTAACGGGTCAGTTCATTCTTCATTTTTAAATTACTTTGCTTCCAAATGTATTGATCTCCACTAATGATGATGTATTAGTTTTATTTAAGCTTTAAATCAATAAATCTTCAAAACTACTGAACCGAAGTACATTAATTTTATATCATTATAAAGGGAATTGAAAGACCTTTAAAATAAGGTATCACCCGACCCACCTTTCCATTTAGGATTGTAGGGTTGGTGTCACCCCGCCCAGAGGGCTGCACGTGATAACGTGATTTTTTGCCAAACTTGTGTCCCCCTCGAAAACAAAATCGACGGGTCTGAGCGTTTTTCCAAAAAAAAACTGAGCTGCCAATAAATGCGTCTGTTTCGTTTACGATGCGCCACCCTGTATACTTCGAACAGTCTTCGAGTGAAACTGATGCTAGGTTTTGAGCATACGATAGATACAGCATTATTATTATTATTATTATTATTATTATTATTATTATTATTATTATTATTATGTGCGTATTCTCATCAACCCCCCCCCCTCTTAAGAGAAACACAATTGACAAGAACATTACCTTTTATCAGATGCCTCCGTAGAATTAGACAATAGATCAGGAGAAGTGATCTGCATTAGCAAATGAAAAGGGTTGGAGTCACACTTTATAAGATGGTTCGATCACATACCTACTTTTTTACCACAAAAATGAATTACCTATCTTTGGTTCAGAGGCAGTGTGGCCTAGCTGAATTGTTTTGCACTCTAGGAATAATCTTTATAGGCAAGTACTCGACTCAATTGAGACTATCCTAAATTACCTTTCTGATTTTTTGAATGTAAGTCGAGTTTTTCGTGAGGCAGTATGACAAATTAAAAAAAATATTGAGATTTAAAAGAATTTTTCCTCCACCCTAATAATTCAATACATTTTTCGCAATTATTTTGTGGTACTTGAAATAAATATTGAGAAAATAATATGTTGCGTATATTTCAATGGGCGAAAAATACTTACCCACCTCGTTTGAATTGAGGAAATGTTGCCCAATTTCAGTGATTACACTCGCCGTGAGAAATGTAACAATCTGATACTGGCAACATTTGGTGACCTCACGTTGAAGATGAATATATTGCCGGTTCCGAACACATAAGTTCTGTGTTCAAACCATGCGTTGTTCAGAACGTTTTAACCGTGACGAATGAGTGTTCAATTATATATCCTCAAGAGTTTTCTTATTGATATGTTTTCAGAGTACGGATGAAAAGGAGTTAGAGACAGCCTTGAACGCAGCTTTAGAAATCGGCTACCGCCACATCGACACCGCCTACGTCTACGAAAATGAAAAGATCATCGGAAGGGTGATAGAACAGTGGATTTCTGCTGGGAAGATAAAAAGGGATGATCTCTACATCACCACCAAATTGGCGCTATGCGGCGTCCATCCAGACAGGGTCGAAATGATGCTGAAGAAATCACTGGAAGGATTGCGTTTGAACTACGTTGATTTATATTTGGTGCATTTCCCAGTGGGCACAAACTACGTGGAGGGATGTGTAGTTACTCCACCGTCTATGCTGAAATTGGAGAACACTGATCACGTGGAACTGTGGAAGGTAACTACTTTACACCAAAACCCGACCTCTTAGTTCTCACGCCTACTTTCGAGAAAGTGTTTTAATCGCGAAAGATTTAGAAAATGAGATATTACATTTTTTTATATTGTATGACACATGCATCACGAAAAAACTATGTCGCTAATCCTTGACCCGTCTATATCTTGGAAAGTGCTTCGGATTTGGATGAAATTTTCACAAAGAAAACGAAAAAGAAAAATTTAAATCACTCAAGCTTCATTTATTGATGTTTCAGAGGATCGTGATCATTTATGAGAACATGTTGAGGGTTAAACAATTTGGGGGTGGGGGTTGTCGGTAGACGGGAGAGAACAATTATGCGACAGTACAGGGTGTCCCGAACAAAGTGTGCAATATTCTACCAGCGGTTTCTAGAGCTTAAAATAGGAAGAAAAGTTTATATATACATGGGTCGACAAACGTCCCCTAAGGGCGCTACGGTCTTTTACAGGGGCTCCCCTGAAGATGGTTTTTCTTTAATATTTCCGAAACGTGTTGAGATAAAAAAATTGGTATTCTAGCCTAGTTTTTTATGCTGGATCTAAAAATATTAACAATTTTAGACAGTTTTGTGTGATTCTATTTTTGAAATTCAATTTTAGAATTTGAAAATGTAGGGTTTTCCACATAAAAAAGGTACTCTTATTGAATATCGATAAATTGTGCCATTTTTGGATAAAATCAAACTAAAAAATTTGTCACATGATAGGAAATGTACTGCGAATTTAAATGAAAAGGTTGATTATACATAGTTAGCCATGACTGCAAACAAAAGTTGTTTTGATTTGTTATGACTTATTTTCACGTTAAGCTGACATTGTTAGCAGTGTAAAATTACTAGATTAATATCAAATTTTTTATTAAATCGATTTAAAATGCCAAGATTTACAGACAGAGAGCTGACTGACATGCATTTTGTGTTCGGGTTTTGCAATTTCAGTTCATTGGCAGCTGTAAGAGAATATCAAAGAAGATTTCCCAATCGCATAGTACCTGGATGTCGAATGTTTACTGATATTCACCGGAATTTGTCAAACCATGGAAGTTTTCAGCGCATGCAGGGCTCAGGAAGGCCACTGGAAAATCATCGTATGGATATTGCTTTAAATATCTTTGAAAATAATCCGCAAATAAGCATACGAAATGTTTCAGAAAATATGGATATACCTCAATAGTAAAAAAATTGTGAATACCTATTTGATAGTTATCCTAAAAATAACAATTTTAGATAGGAAGCATGACAATAATGCAAGGATTACATCCTTATCATTTTAAACGGGTGCAGCATGTAACGGAGGCAGATTTTTTACCACGAATCGAGTTTTGCCAGTGGATATTAGCAAATGAAAACACTATTCCTAGAATATTATGGTCGGACGAGTCAATATTTACTAGGAATGGTGCTTTTAATTTCCATAAAATTCATCACTGGTCAGATGAAAATCCAAAATTTGTTCGTCGTACAAATTTCCAATATAGATTTTCATTGAAATTATGGGCAGGAGTAATTGGAGATCAAGTAATTGGGCCTATTGTACTTCCCAATCGTCTTAATTCAGAGGTGTATCTGAACTTTCTTCAGAATGAGCTCATGGATATAATACCATTGGATGTGTGCCAGCAGTTTCAAGAAAATATGTTTTTTCAACATGATGGCTCCTCTTCACATTTTGGACGCAATGCTCGAAATTGGTTGAATATCAATTTTCCAGACAGGTGGTTAGGCCGAGGAGGTCCTATAGCCTGGCCGCCACGTTCACCTGACCTAAATCCATTGGATTTCTATTTTTGGGGGTCATTAAAAGACCTAGTTTACTCGACTGAAGTAAATACTCAAGAAGATTTTCTTCAAAGAATCCATCAGGCTGCAAATGAAATAAGAAGAAAAACGTTTTCCACTTTTCGGGCTACGCAATCATTAGTTCGTCGAGCGAGACTCTGTATCCAACAAAATGAAAATTTATGTAAACACTTATTGTAAAGCTATTTTTAAGTATATCCAACTGCATGTCTTCTTTTTTAAACAAATTTCAATTTCGTTCGTAGAAAAAAATTATTTCTTTTGTTTTTACCTAAATGTTAGCTAGGTTGCAATAGAAATATGTATTTATGTAATATTTACCAATTATTAAATTAGTTTTTTTGTTGCCATGGCTAATTATTCAACAATTCATTTAAATTCGCAGTACATTCCCTATCATGTGACCTATTTTTTAGTTTGATTTTATTCAAAAATGGCACAATTCACCGATATTTAATAAGAGTACCTTTTTTATGTAGAAAACCCTAAATTTTAAAATTCTAAAATTGAATTTCAAAAATAGAATCACACAAAAATTTTGGGGCTCAAATAACCTGAGTCCGTCCCTGTTAGATACGCTTCCAAACAAAACTGCCTAAAATTGTTAATATTTTTAAATCCAGTATAAAAATCTAGGCTAGAACACCAAATGTCATGTCTTTATCTCAACACGTTTCGGAAATATTAAGGAAAAACCATCTTCAGGGGAGCCCCTTTAAAAGAAGGTAGCGCCCTTAAGGGCCGTTTGTCGACCTATGTTTATATAAACTTTGCTTCCTATTTTAAGCTCTAGAAACCGCTGGTAGAATATTGCACCCTTTATTCGGGACACCCTGTATACATTACATATGCATACAGCCATCATGCTGGATCCGCCATTTGGATTTTTTCATGAATCAATACTCAATTCGTTATCAGCGATCTTAAAATCTCTTGAAACTTAATATTAGCGCGATCATAATATTTTTCACAAACATAACCGCCAAGTATCCTGAGTTTTATCCATCTTTCAGAGTGACCATTTCTGAAAACAGATTCAACTCGTCTTTAGATGCTGGCCGAAAAAATCCCTGCCTAAATTATTTTGAATCGGTAAAATATTTCAATCCTTCTGTATAACTTTTAATCGCGCAAAGTATTAATATTTATAATCACAAAATCAAACAGCTCCTTGACATTGGTAGATAGATAGATAGACATTTATTTCCAGCAGGTACATGTGCACCCAATAACAGGAAAAGCTTAAAATCAAATGAACATTTCGTTTTATGTAAAAGAAAAAATATAACTTATGTTATATAAAAATAAACACTTGAATGATATAAAAAAGATATGTCGAAAAAGTTACATATTAAATGTGATCTACATAAGTAACTAGCGAGATAGGGGAAAAATTGATGTCATTTCTGGTGTTGAGCCTGGGCACGGTAAATGGAATTTTACCTAACAAAAATTCATTATGTCCCCATGAATGAGTTTGTACAAGAAACTCGTGTGTTAAGAGAAATAACGTTTGCTTCATTAAGCAGCAAAGAGTAATCAAATCCTCTTTTCTTAAAATGCATATATTTAAAAAATTTCCTCTGAACACGTTCTTTCTTACTAATGTGTGTTGCGCAATGTGGGTACCAAATCAAGATACCATACTCCAACTTGCTAAATACATAACTTATATATAGAATATTTAGTACTGAAATAGAAAATTCTCTAGCGTTCCTATTAGCCGAAACAGTCGTGTCGATATGAGTTGAAAAAGACATTTTTTGATCAAATATAAGATTCCTGTCATGGATTTGCTCTTGACGCTTAAGGCTAACGTGTCCAAGGTAGTAGTTAAAATTTAAGATGTTTAATTTCCTTGTGAAAGACACAACAAGGCACTTGTCCGCATTTAAGTTAAGATGATTGGCATGGCACCATGAAAACACTGTGATAATATCTTGCTGCAAGACAAGGCAGTCATCGATAGTATTGACATAGTTGTATATTTTGAGGTCATCTGCATATAATAACTTTGAACAGTGCAAGTCAAGTGTTAGATCGTTTATATATAAGATAAATAGTAAGGGTCCTAGATTCGAGCCTTGGGGAATTCCTGAAGTAGGTGATTATAAGAATATGACTGCGCTGTGTCTATCTGAGACATGGGCTACAAAGGATTGTAAACAACAAAATTTAGGGATTTCATTTATGTGGCTGTTATTGCAGAAGCCAGTTTATAGTAAAGCTGGAGGAGTTGCTGTATATTTAAAAAGTCACATTGAGAACAAAAAAATAAACATCAAAATTCGGTATTAAAAAGGAAATCCAAAAGTGTGGCACTTCTTTTAATAATACTGTCTTAGTCTTGTGTTATCGTCCACCATGTGGTAATTTATTTGTATTTTACGATCAGCTACACAGTGCGTTGGACTCGTTACTTAAACCATATTTTAAAACCATGTTATGTGGTGATTTTAATAATGACTTTTATAAACCAAATCACGATTTTAAGCGTTTTATTGACACTGTGAGTGATTTTGACTTGCATTCAATAATAAAATGGCCAACAAGAGTTGCGAAATCATCATTAACAGCCATTGACGAGATCTTTCTGAATTTTCAGAACTGTGGTGCAAACTGCGTCATTGATAATACTGTATCTAACCACAGCACCGTACTTCTTGAACTGTATATTTTCTCCACTGATGGTGATTCAGGATACGAAATCTGTTATTCACGTAGATACGATGCAAATGCGGTGAATAACTTTATGTTAATTTAATATCTAAGAATTGGTTGGAAGTTTATAATAACTCAATCTTTGTGGATACAGCGTTCATACCCTTTCTTGATATATTTTTACCTCGTCCTAAAGTGAATTTTCCACTTTTGAAATGGTTTAAAAAATTGAATACAAATGGGTGAACAATGAAGCAGTAATATGAAACAGAAATCTGAAAAGCTTATTTGGCTTAACAAAAATATTCACAGAAGCCAAATCGGAATATCTTTGAGCCAAGAAATTGCATCAGCCAAGATAACTCACTATCAATAAACAATTTTCCAATCGGGAAATCTCAGTAAGGCGACTTGGAAACAGTTTCTGAAATAGCTCAAAAAGAAACAACAATACTTCTTGAAAGTAGATGAAGCTGTTATAACTGATCCATTGGATATAATAAATCATTTCAGTTCA